CTTAGTTCCCGTTGCATAAAAAGTACACAAATATACTTAGCTTGTATTCGTAAAGTTCATTCTGCTATCTAGTCAGTATACAGCATTTCGTACAAGAGCTTTCGAAAAGTGCATCAGTTTTCTTAAGAATATTAATAGTAATAATTCTGACAGTTACGTACTTAATGTACTTCACCTTTTCTGTTTGAGTGATCATACCATCTACATTTTAATACTCTTCTTTATTAGTGAGTGTAATGTTGAACATACGGAAATACACATTAGATCCTGGGGAACTGTAATCTCAGGGATAGTCTCATTCTGCCTTTTTGGAGTTTTTCTTAGAGATCTAATGTAAATTAAGCCGAACAGTCAAAAAGTGTCACAGAAACCACATTTCTTCATAACAGATGTGCTAGTGATACAAATGCTTAAGTTTGACTGAAACAAACATAACTAATTATGCAGTCTGCCTCTTGTCTCTTTTATTGTCTCCTTTCACTATTTAATTATCATTGTCATTAGTAGCATTGTGAATACATTGTCATGCCTTCTAACTACATTTATTAATTTTACACAGTGAAGAGTATCTGTGAATTATGGTATGCCTGTACTTAATAAAGTGTTTACTCAGCTGGACAGCAGACAGAACAGTGATATTCTAGTCATTATTTTCAATTCAATGAAGATAAGTGCATTTTGATCGGCGTCATTTGATGACAAGAATTGATTTAATATTCACCATTTGTTACTTTACAGAACCTCAAAGGACTCCACTTTTATGTCTGATTTGTCAAATTCATCGTTTCAAACGGGATATTGTAAGATGAGAAATTTCTACGGCTTCCATTGAGAAACCAAAATTACACAGATCACAGTGTGCGACCTACTTGATATCAAGAATGCCACTAAAGAACGCATACAAAAGCGTGTTACTCTGATTGCACTTTATCATGATTCGACACTCTGAGATGACTCAATCCCGATATCCAGCTGATGAGGTTGGTCTGAAATGGGCAAGACGACCATCCGGTGTTTGGTTCACTCTGGTCTGGCAAGCGAACACTACTTCTTGAAATGAATAGTTTCTAGGTCCTCAGACCTATCAATAGTACGTACCATGATGTCATTTAGCTTTGATTTAAATTTTCATCTACGTTCTTCCGATTTATTTCTGAAAGTTAGAAATTTTGATGTATGGTAATCTGTCTTTGTTAGCCATTGAGGTTTTGATCAGTTTTATTGGTGAATATGTAAACATATTAAAAATCTTAATTAGAAGTTTAACGACACTTCTTCTTTTATCATTCAAGATACTGACTTAAGAATAAACTGAAATAATGTAGGAGATTTATAGCTCAGGATGACATAAATATTTGTGGAGTCTTTCACAGGTATTGACTTTATGAAGTCGAATCATATGGTCGTATGGTAGTCTATTGATTGAATGCTGACAGTCACATCTGAAAGCGAAGAGAACATCAACGGCTAATTATTCAACCAGTTTCACAATGAGGCAATCATGATAGCAGGAATAATAGCTTTTATTCCAAACGATACTTTTGATACAAACATGGAATTTTTAGTATGTGTAAAATACTGCGTCTGATTTACTTATTACATTATATTATTGTTCCCTTGGGTTCCTGGTGGAACATAGGGCTTCAAATGCACGTCTCCACTTGCCACTTCTGTCTTCTGCTTTGCTTTTCACCTGCATCCATGTTAGTCCATACTGTTTCAACCAACTCCTCTTCACACGATCTCCTCCACGTCACCCGCCCTTGCACTGACGTCCCACTCGCCACTTCCCTTTCGGCCTGGTTCTACTCGAGCAATGGCCTGACGCGCGCAATGTCACCCAGCGAGTGTCCGATCCATCTCCACTTTCTCCTACATATTTGTTGGGGGATTGGTTCTTTTTTTGTTTGTTATCATAGTTTCTTGTTGGTGATTCTTTCCGGCCCGGGCATCTGATCTTCAGGATAGAGCGAAGACAGTTATTGGTGAAGGTCTGCCACAGCCGTTGGAAATATTCTTTGTGACCCCTTCCCGCCAAGTTTGTGATCCGTATAGAAGAACTGACTGACTTGACGTTTGTGTTGAAAATCCGACCGAATTTTGTTGTTGATGCTGAGTGAAAGAGGAAATAAATACACAGGGCATTTACATTGATAACGTTAAACAAAAATATCAATATAAAATTAAAATCAAAGTAAAAATATTAACAACAATAAAACAATGAAAGAAAGAATTAAAAAGAGCCGTTTACTTAATGTTTCTTAGCAAGTTAGCAGTGTCACACCTTACACTCTTCTCTTCACATAAAATGTGTGCCAAAGAAGGTACCATTGAGTTTTTATGCTTATTCGTCTGAGCGCAAAGTCTTCTGTCGTTGCTTCCACTTCTACCTAATGAGATGCAAGGAGAGAGTTGTGCGTAGAGAGGATGCTCAGGGTCTGACAAGATAATATTCACCTATTTCTTCCATGAGTCTATGTGTCTATCTACAACATTACTAAAAATTTGGTTAAGTGACACACTACTCGACCCACAAACAGCTTTTAGTGCCTATCTCAGTGTAACAAATTCTCTTTTAAGTAGACCAGGAACGATTAAGGTCGGGGGGGGGAAGGGGAAGTAAAGAAGCTTCGGTCTAAAAATAAAACTGAAAACCTGAAATTTGAGGGGATTTAGGTTAGGACCATTTGAAAAGGACCATTGACTAATTACTAATAAAAAGTTATTCATTTTGGAACAATCTGACAGAGAAGTAACCGGGATGGAAACATTCAGATCATTGGCATACCTAACAAAATTAGCTTCGTTGTAACGAGGCAAATTGTGTAAGAAGGAAAACGGAAGAGGAGAAAGCACAGCACCTTAAGGAACACCAACTAGGGTAAGTGAAGCAGTGTAGGACTCCTGTTATAAACAATACACTACTTGAAGTCAGAAAAGTAAGAATGCAATAGTTTCTTAATCCATCTCCCTGCTTATGTCGCAACGAGCTTGTTTAACAAAAGATAAATTGGTTTTGAAATACGAAGAAAATGATGACTATAAATGCATTGAATAAATGTTTGGGTAAAGTAAGAAAGAAGAGTTTCATTGGTTGAACTTCCAGTGACTGAGTGGTTAACTTAAATTTCTTGAGTTCAACCTCAAGAGAGGCCATGGGTATATAGTACCAAAGAGTCTTAAACTAGAACGAAACAGCTATTTATTACTTCTTGGTATTAAATAGTTCCCTGATGACAGTTTATAATTTAACTTAAAGTGAGTTTAATTCAAAATTTCAGTTCATCTGAAAATAGTGTAGATTAACAATTATTCAGACGTACTGAAGATGAAGTGAATTTTCCGAACTCCTAGAATAACAATTCGACAGTAAATTAAGTAAGTCCATGCAAAAAAGCAGTTCAAATATTCATCACAATGTTTGGAAGTTTATATTCAGGTAAAAATTGAGTTTAATTGCACATATGTAACATTCTAGTTGTTTAAAAACACAAACACAAACATTGATTACTTAAGATGCTGACTAGAATTTTAAATTCAGGTTCATCGTGTTTTACTGCCCCATCACTAAGCATAGTTATTCCTAAAGTTCAAAAATTTCCTCTCTACTAAATTGGAAATATTTCCCAGGTGATTGTTGCTTTAAACAAAGTCTCGATGATATTCCAGGAATTATACATATTCAGTGAGGACATTGGAAATTGTCGGCGACAGCGACTGTCTCATGAGTATTTGTATAGATTTATTTCTATTAATTTTTCAATAATTAGTATAAGCAGATTTGACTAATCGGAGTCTGAAGTTAGAAGGTATTCACCACCTTTGTCTTTTCCGGATAAACTCAAAGTATATTACACAAGATATCTGTGACGGAATTCAAGTTTCAAAGCTGATCATATCAGTTTGACAACCATTCAAAGATAAGGGGTACTGGACGACTATTTTTGTCGTGTTTGGGATTCTTTATTAAAACGCACCCATGAATCCACCGGGGATCGAACCTAGGATATTAAGCCCCGGTGACGGGATCAATGGATCCATGAATTCTAACTTCTGTCGATTCGGAACATTTCTTAAACTAGACCAATATGTCAGTCTAGTGCTCTCTGGTCTTCACTAGTATTCTAACTGGTATCAGCTCATGATCTAGCAGAAAACTAATTCAATCCCTGCAGACCTCTCGAATTTAACCTGTTGACTCAATGAACTCAGTTTATTGTATGTCCCCATTTTCTTATTTTGCTCAAGAGTTCTTATTTTTTAGTACATTTTAAGGAAATGAAGAGAGAAGCAGTAGAGGACAAATATCATCCAGTTAATCATTGTTTCGATAACTCATGTTCCTCATATACAGCGCTAAATATTGAAAGAACCTACAGAAAACTCGCGTTTATTTGCATTTGTAAGATGAAAAATACAAGTTGAATGAAAAGGATTCATTCTGTTAAACTATTTGATCAATATGCAATCTCTCATCAATAAACGTTTAAGCCATGTGATTTAAACTGAGGTATACATCAAAGCGAGTTATAAAGTGCAAATATTACGAGATATTGTTTATTCTTATATTGAAAAGTGACGCACACATTTAAATATGGAATATTTTACTTGAATATTTTTTTCGAACATTAATTAGGCATTATTGTTGAAATGTATTCTGTCTTATACGTAAGATTGATTAAAAAACTTTAATTGAGTGAAGCAACAATTTTTTTTTAAATAATGAACTGAAGTATATAACTAATGACCAGTAAGAATACGATATTTCATTCTACTATTAATTTGTATATAAATGGATATAATTGTCTCTGATTAAATAGAGAGAAGAAAGAAAACCATGTCAACGTTTGTTGGAAGTTGGAAGCTGGTGGAGATGACGAATTTCAAAGCACTTCTTGATAAAGTTTGTAAGTGAAACAATCGTAAAAAATGGTTTTCTATGCGTTAGATAAACTTTAGTTGAGTTCCATTTTGATAATTGATCGCTTAATATCTTTTAGATGTTGACGAAAGGATAAGACAAGCAATTATGAACCACAGACCAAAAGTAACCTATAGACTAATAGGAAATGATGGTATGGAAATAAAGACTGAATCAGAAATGGGAGCAAATGTGATGACCTTCAAGTATGGTGTAGAATTCACACAAGATACAGGATTCCTTTCAACACCAAAGGTATTGTTTGATTTCCATTCAAAATTTGTATTTTTGTAATATGTTTAATAAGAGGTTGAGATTATATAATTGGGCATCAGTTAATTCATCTGCTAGATATTGGTAACTTCATATTGTGTAGCCTCTGTTCAAGGGATCCCATCATAATAATCGGATTAGTAAACCAGTGGTTTTTCTTAAGAACTTGAAGGCAGTCTGACTGTATGAACAGAGAAATAATATAACGGAATATTGAATGGGTATTTTGTCATTTTTCAGTGATAGTTAAGGATGGTATTCTGCGGACTAGTTTCAACGTATTTAGAGGTCCAGAAATGATTCACTCCTGGCTTTATTCAATTCTCTTAGACCATCTGATTAAAGTTACTTAGTAACTCATTACGAATGTTCACTAAAAAATAGATCATACATATCTATTTATAGAAAAGTATCTGTTATAGATTTTAGGAAGTCCTTATTCAGCAGGCTATTTATGACCACTCCACTGGTCATCTATTATGCACAATGGTTCAGATAATCTTCCATTGAGCTGAGCTTTGACATTATCTGATGCCATCCACGGAGGCCTGCTTAAATAACTGAATTACTTACTAGAATTCCAATTCATCAAAATGCCTAGACTCTTATTTATCTCTTGTTGTTTGAATCATTCAATTATATTAGATGATCACTACATGAACTGGCGCACAAATTTAATTAGCTTTCAACAAAACGCTGTGAGATTCTTGAGGGAAATGAGGCAAAAGTATGCATAATTCGTTCTCTCTGCATATGAAGAAAAAACACTGCCTCACGCTATATACTTCAGATTACTACTTTACATGTAAATCCTGTACAAAGACGAAATATTTTGGCACTAAATATACTAAAACCTCTGTACTGTCTGTTCACCAATCGCCTATTATGACATTTATATGTGACTCCAAAAGGTTACAATGACAAACTTTAAAATTTATTAAAGAATAGAAGTTTCTTTTTTCTTTGACTAATGATTTGGTGAGAGAATAAGTAGCCGACAATTTAATCTTTGTAATATTACAGCATTTACAGACAGAGAGGAATAAGTTTGAAATGATGTTTTTAGAGTCAGTTAATAGGTATCATAGCTAAGCACCAAATTCATTTTTATCGAAGATGGTTGTGTGCGAAACATCTTAACAAAGTTTCTCACCTAGAGATTTCAACTGATATCATTTAGCCTCTAATCTTTAGTAGTTATCTCTATACAGTTTAGTATGTAGCAGAATCTTTGTTTTATAATGGTGACACTAATTTAAACGCTTGAGAGAATTTGCTTGTAGGTGGCTGATACTCGAATTCGGTAAGTATGTTTCTTGGTATTTTAAACCCACTGTAGCTCAAACTCATCATCCGCTGGACCGATGATCAGCAACAGCCATCTCTTATGTCCTTGACATATAAATACACATAAATAAGGTTAAAGAGAGCGACTTATACGGAAAAACCCAGTTATTCATAGTGTACTTTCACTTTGCAGACCTAATCTTGAGAATACGATAAGCACTAAGAATGTGGAGACTTTGCTGGCTACTGTCCAGAAAACTATTTTCCAGTGAGACAGTCTTTACTTTAATTATAATTAAATTACAAAGAAGTGACATGATGTTTTAAAATGGAAAAGGAGGTTGACAAGTATATCGACATTGTAAGCTAAGCGCCAGTACTTTAATGTTTAAAATCAAGAGGAATAAATAAAATGGTATTACTTCTAGTACTAATGGCTGTAGTGAGTAGTGTCATCTAAGTCATTATTTGATGCTGAATCAAAGTGTCACACTCTAAAAACATCGTCTTCATTCTATTCTAAGTATTAATACTTATTCCTTACCTTTTGTCTTCTGTTTTTCAAAATAAAAGACAGTAATTAGAAAGTTGTCTGAAAATGCTATTGAACAAACTCAACAACACTCAACTGGTATTGTCAAGGTTCTTCGCACTGTAGAAGGTGATAAAATGACAGTGGTAAGTATTAATTATTTCACTACTACAATACATAATGTGTTTATACTGACATTACTTGTAACTCACGTTTAATTTTATCACAGTACAAGTATACTAGTCAAGCGAAAATTTTTACATGGATTAAAACTGAACTATTTAGCGCCAAATAAAAAATTATTACATATTCTAATAATCATGTGTGTCAATGTTACTGGCTGTTATAATAACGATAAACACAGAATGACGGAATTCAGTCAGCGCCAACACTAATAACCAAGCCCATGACAGTGGTTACTTACCAGCGACCTATAAATGTATCCATTTCAATCCTGTAACAGATTATTTGTGAGCTTAGTAGTGACGTCTCAGCTGTGGTAGTGAGTGACACAATCTTGAATCTCCAAGAGGACATCAATTCCTTCCAGATTTCAGGTACGCTGACCAGTGCACCTGACTATTTCCAATCACTCTGAAATCACGTTTTCGTTGAATGCAGAAAATAGTGCAAAAAGAGTACAAAGAGCAGAAGAAATGTAAAGGAAAGAATGTAGATAGAATGAAGACGTAGCAAAATGCTACCATAGTGAATGCCACTCATTTTTGTGTGAAGGATACTGGTATCCCAACTGGAATAATAAAAGCTTCTATAATTGAGTACTACTCTAGTCCATCATCTGCTGGCAGTTTGAAAAAGCCCTTATGCTGGCAGCAGTAAAGCTTGTAGTGAGCCAGATGCCTTGTGACTGAACTTATTAAAATTATTGTTCCTATGTAGATTAACTGATGTTGGTTTGTGATAGAATCTACTTTGAAATCAAATAAATCTTCACAGACCCAAAATTGGAAAGATGATGTTTGATAATTGTCATTACTTAACAACCTCACCTAGTTTACTAGCTCTCTAGTTTTCTAGCCGGCCCCGAGACCGGTTAAACTGTTACAGAAACGTATCTGGCTGAAGAGGCAGGTGGCGAAGACAGGACTCCAAGTGAACATAAGGAAGACGGCGGTGGTAAAGATAAACAACGAACTGCAACAACAGCAACACCCTGCATCAGCTACCACTAAAGGGAGAGATTTGACATAGGTTACTTCCTTCACTCATCTAGGAAGCATATTTGGAACCATAGGTGGAATGGATAATATTGTCAAAGATAGCGAGAATCAAAAAGGCAAGATTCCCCTTCGTCAACCTGAAACCAGTTTCGAGATCTTCTGTACTCGGCCAGCATAAGGAACAAAATTCGGGTTTTCAACAACAATATAAAGTCAGTCACTGCTTCTGTGCGGGTCAAAAAGTTGCACTGGGTGTCACAAAGGCGATTTCAAACGGGTTGCAGACTTTTATCAGCAGGTGCCTTCGTTAACTCCATACTAAAGATCGAATGGCCATAAACAGTTAATAAAAAAAACTCTGACTGAAAACAAACCAACGGACGAGAGTCAATCGCTCCACAAATATGTAGGAGAAAATGGAGATTGATCGGACACACACTGAGGAGACCGTCAAATGACATCGCACTCCAGGCCATCACTCAAATGGAATCCAAATAGGAAGCGACGAGTGAGTCATTGGTGCTAGGGTGACATCGAAGAGATCATGTGAGGAGGAAATGAAAGACTTTTGGCAGTCGTGGCCCAAGCTGAAGAGGACGGCAGAAGATAGGACAAAGTTGAGACGTGTTGTTTACACTTTATGTCCCACTAGGAACCCAGGGGTATAATTGTAATGTAATCATTATTTAACAGTAAATATTCTTGACTAATATATTCAGGTGATAAAGTAATTTTTTAAAAATAACTCAACAACTTTCTAATGTCCTTATTAAATGTATCTTTTATGGATTTTGTTTTAATGAATACTTAAAAATATTTTATCACTTTAAAATATTTGTTTCCTAGAATGTCTCTATGGATGATGTGGAAGGCGTTCAAATATTTGAACGCCTATGAAGAAAACTGTGCCGTGATAATAACAGATTCTGGATTATGTTCAGTTCATCCTTTGTCTTATTCATGAACCTTTCATAATTTCGAGTTAATAGATTTGGAATAAACTATATAAAAATTTATTATTATTTCTTTTTAATGTGGTAACGACTGAAGTAAAGGGAAGAAGGAAAAATTTTCTTTAATTAAAATATTTTTAGCAGATAAGCGTCATATATTATTACGTATATATTATTATCCCCTTGAGTGCGGAGTAGAGCATATGACATCATCAGTACGTGGCCATTTCACTCACTCCTCTAAAGTCTATTTTCGTTGTCTCCACGACTATTCATAGCTTTTCATCCCCTCCTCACACGATCTCCTACAAGTCACCCTTGGTCGCCAAACTCAGAATTTCCCATTCGGATTTCACTGGAGGGCTTGGAGTGCAATATCACTCAACAGTCTTCTCAGCATGCATCACATCCGTTTACATTTATTTCTGCCTATTTGTTAGTCGACTGCGTATTTTTACGTGTTTACAAAGATATGGTGCCTTTTTGGAAATTCGTTACGGGATTACACATAAATAATCTGGACGAGTTGAATTTAAACGTGGTTGGTTTTTGTTTATAATTTATCAATAAACATTAACATTAAACATGCAGAATGAAATTACTTGCAGCGTTATCTTCAACAAGAATGTTCAATCATTTGGAAAAGTGATGAAAAGCTGACTGATTTTACGGAAATTCCATCAAAACTGAGTATTCTATAATTGGTTATTTCGACTATTCAACATTTTGGACCTAAAAATATAAGAAGATTTACTCGGTGACCTAATAGTCATTCTAAACGATTCAAAGATGTTCCACTTGGTTATTATTTATTAGATATGCCTTAACTGTCTCCTCAGGTGTATACAGCATAAAACAGATATTGTGAGGAAACAGTCTTTTCGTTCAAGATTCCCTGAGATTACAGTTCCCCAGGATCTAATGTGTATTTCCGTATGTTCAACATTACACTCACTAATAAAGAAGAGTATTAAAATGTAGATGGTATGATCATTCAAACAGAAAAGGTGAAGTACATTAAGTACATAAGTGTCAGAATTATTACTATTAATATTCTTAAGAAAACTGATGCACTTTTCGAAAGCTCTTGTACGAAATGCTGTATACTGACTAGATAGCAGAATGAACTTTACGACTACAGGCTAAGTATATTTGTGTACTTTTTATGCAACGGGAACTAAGTTTGTGTGATAAAATACACACTATGCATTCTTCAGCGTACAAGGTTTGTACAAATTAAGTCAAATCGAATTAGCCGTTAGAATGGCAATATTTGTAGAAAGTTTGCAAAATAACTACTTGTAAATATTTCTAGAGTTGAGTTATGTCTTTTGAGATTAAATTAATTGAATAGCACAAAATATCAAGTTTTCTTAAATAAAATTATGAAAGCTTTTAAGAAAGCCTTTTATAAAAACCGTAGAAATACAGTTCATGCTGTAATTCAGTTGACTTTTAAAGAATTTTATTAACTTCTGTATCTCTTCTTCAATTTTGTCTAAATCTGTGAATCCTAAATCCTACTGCATAAATCGCTGATGTTTCTAATTTGTTGTTGCAGTAGTGATTTAATGTTATAAACTTATTCTACTCGGATTCCATGGTCAGGCTAGTTTGTACTGGCAAAGACTATGGGAATACTGTACTATCTGTTTGTTCAATGGTAAATTCTGTGAACTATTTAATTTTAATTTATTTGTTTAAAAAGTGACTGATACTGCATAATGAACGTGTGCCATAAAGCAGGAATATTTAACATTGTTTGAGTGCTACCAGTAGAAAAAGACGAAGTCCACATTTCATCTGCTTTGTCAGTTTCCACTGAAGAGTGTTTGATGTATATTGTTGTGAAATGGCAGTAAAACACCTAAAGCAGAACCCGTAGTTATTTAAATATACACAAATGATTACAAAGATCGGATAAAGGAATGTAGAAAGTATCAGACTGGAAGGCGAAACTCACTTAAGGAAGAATATGATGAACTATGCATAATTAACAAATGAAGAAGAAGTCTGCTGGTGAGTTGAGTTTGAAACTTGAAATGTAATTGATAATGAACTTGATTTTCTGAGCTTCAATAATATAAGACAGATACTAGTAATGCTACTGAATGATGCATCAACTGTAATGTTATTTCTTCATCTAGACATACATACAAATAATTTTGGATAGGAAACACTTATTCAGGGAGTTATCCAGGAAGAATAGTGACCATGATTGAAAAATTCTAACATAGAGTGAATAACTGAGAGAATTTGTTTTGATATGTGGGAGATGGGGAATTCGTTGGAAAGAGTAGACATTGAGTTATATACTGTCGGTATGTAAGTATTTATTAGTTTTATATCAATGAGAAGTGAGTCCATAGGAGCATGTGTTACTAAGGAAATGTTTTCCCAGCGCGAAACTACACTTTAAAAAGGAACAAAACTTTTCGAATTTCGTGAAATAGACGATATATTAATTTTCTGTTTCGCTTGACATTCAAATCATTACACTTGTTACTTGTCTGTTATTTTGTATTTCCCATTTACTGACATCTGTTGGATTGAAATTCTCAGTCTTTGTAGACATGCTGTCATATATTACAGAACTCTACACCATTTCTGAAAGTCAACAAGGTGTTATTCGGTTGATGTTATCTGGCTGTGGGGATCAAGACCCACTCTTTGTCCTGTTTGAAACTTGTGAGTGTCATTCATCCGATTACCGGTGTTTAGAACAATGGATTCTGGATAATAGTCTCAGTTGGAACAACATCATTCATTCAGGATCCAGGTGTATCCTACTGCAGAGTCTCAAGAAGGACGAAATGCACGTTCGAGGTTCCACCACCAACCAACATTTGTCAAATTACATGAAACTTGCTTTTCTTTACAAGATTCGCTATACCTCAGTAGTAGTCGTATCAAATTCATTTTAAATTCGGGATTAATCTGAGCTTTATGCAGCTTAGTTCGTCTAAAATATTGTTTAATTTCTGTTTATTTTCTGGTAATAATTATTATTTTCTGAATTTACAATTCTACAAATGTTTTGCCTAGTGATGTAGACCAATATAAACTCATTTCAACTGTAGGTGAATTTCTCTGAACAGGAAAGTGTAAGTGAGAAGTTTTTAATGTTCTACTAAATAACACATTAGGTTCCAATTTCATATTATTAGCATAATGAGAATCTGAACTACTCATAAAGGGGAAAGTTGAGAAAATATATCTTCTAAGTTTGATATTAGTTAGAGATCCCTTGAAAACTGAGGAGTACTGGAAAGGCATTCCGTCATAGTTTGGAACTTTTCAGAAACACGTATTCATGACTCTGTCTGAAGTTGAAACTAGAACATTCAGTTTGCGAGGCGAGCTCTTTGACCATCGGGGTTAAACAGGTCGAGTGTGAGGACAAATACTTCTGAGTGATATTGGAACGCGGTGGCGCTAAAAATCGCAAATCGATAGAAGTTAAAATTCATGGAGAATTGAATCCCATCCCAGTGGTTGAATGATAGGCGAGCTCACCTCGTAACATTCCGGTCCTGAGTACATTCTTCAGGATGATTCCTGGACTAGGATTAAACAGCTATGCAGTACTCTTTGGTTTTCAATGGTCCCTCCTCTAAGTGATATCACTCAAATCCGTATAAACTGACCCTTGAAAATTTATCCTTATTGAGGGAGTAGTATAATCTAAGCTAGACAGTATTACTGTGTAGCTTCCATTTGACTTTCTTCACAAAACCTTGAAAGTAGACACCAGCATAAAAGACAATGCAAGCTTCAGAATAAAAAAATCATCTAATTCAGAGAACATATTTACACCAATGTTATCCACATGAGCCATAAATCCTCTTCATCCTTTCTGAATCTGTCCTTGTGTAGGTACGGTCAGTACAGTTCAAAAAAGTGGTTTATTTATATACTTGACTTACCAATACTAATTACGAAAAAGTAATCAAGGTATTTAATCTATTCCGTTCATTTAGAATATTTAAATGTTTCTGTATTTTCTTGTTGGAACAAGTTTATGAGACTTGTAAATGTTAGTTGGAATGATGAGTTCAAATTATTCAATGCTGATATTCTTGTTTCAAATGAATTCTCATGACGAAATGATGACTAGAAATCGGGACAGTATTCATTCGAATTAGTTTATATGATTATGGTCATCCGTCAATTTTATTTTACTGTCTATTTATGCATGGCACAGTTTTCAGCCGTATTCACTTTCTGGTGTGTAGTTAAGATATTAGTAGTCATTTTATTTCATCGGTAATGTAACTGTTTATGCGTTCTCATATCTGTTTAATAAAATTTTTGCTTAATTCCATTTTACTCGACTGTTAATCGATAACGATATCATTATTTATCATTTATTCTATGTCGGGGAAAATTTGAAAGCCTTTCAGTTGTTCATTGTTCAGGAAGTGTTATACAGAAATGTTTACTGATGAAATTTCGATCAAAACTTATTGCTCATAATCATATCAAACCAATCATACAACTTTCTCATGTCACTTACATAATTCCATTACTTTTCACCTCTTGATTTGATTGGTAGTAGTATTTCCCATATCTCTGATATTGCAACTAATTCATTCCTACTGCATGTGTTTGGTGTAGACTTGATGAACCAGGATTCAGTAATCAATCTCTCTCTCCACCTACCTATGTTACGTTTTAGAACTTTGACCGTGTTTCCCCCTATAGTGTGGTTGTGTGTTAGTGCATGCAGTGTAATTGCTGAATTTTTCCTAAATTACTTTGTGTGATCAATCATTCTAGTTTTAGCTGAATTCTTATGTCCTGATAATCTCACCACTTCTGATCTACTAGTTTGACCTATGTAGTTGATTTCAGAGTCATTGCAAGGTATTGTAGCGGTAAATAATTCCCCAAAATTATTGACCACAGAAATCACTCATCATTGGATGCTGACCACCACTGTTTCAGTCGACTTGTTTAGCTGAAGGTTTCTGGTAAAGCATCCCCGCCATTTGGTGACCCGTCGTATCACGTGCGTGCACGATCACTAGCCAGCTAAGCGTTCGTCTGACGGCTTGTTTTGGTCCCGAAATATATCACGTAGTTTGGACGATCAAATATTGGCTTTTGCTTTGCTTTTGATACGCGAGAATTAATAAGTTAGAAGTTGCTGTATAAGAGATTCCGTCAACCTCTAAAGTATTTTGAAAATTATTATATTATTTTGTTTGATTGGGTCCAGCAACGGGGTCGTTTAATCCACAAAGTTTGTCTATGAGTGAGTTTTTAGATTTGAATGCCACCCGAATTCCCGGTTCACTGAGAATCTTATGTAGGGACTCAGATGTCCCCTTCCTCAAATGGTAAACCTGCAGATGTCTTGTATTCTTTCTTATGTTATCAATATCAGTTTCACCGTAATTTTATTTTGACCGTTTTTGATCTCCCTAATGGATTGTATACGATAGTTAGTTATTTAACATCAACGCTTCTTCTATCTGTTTCATGTCATCACTTAGCTAAGGTAAGAATGATTTATCACACAAAGTAATTTAGGAAAAATTCAGCAATTACACTGTATGAATTAACACACAACCACACTATAGGGGGAAACACGGTCAAAGTTCTAAAATGTAATATAGATAATTGGAGAGAGAGATTGATTACTGAATCCTGGTTCATCAAGTCTACACCAAACACACGCAGTAGGAGTGAATTAGCTTCAATATCAGAGATATGGGAAATACTACTACCAATCAAATCAAGAGGTGAAAAGTAATGGAATTATGTAAGTGACGTGAGAAAGTTGTATAATTGGTTTGATATGATTATGAGCAATAAGTTTTGCTCGAAATGTCATCAGTAAATATTACGGTAAAACACTTTGAAACTTCATCGAAATATATTTTTTCCAATAATAGAATTATAATTTATCACAATGCCGAATTTGTATTTTTATATCTGTCAATAATCATTTGCACATCTTGTAATGACAGGTAGATAGCCAAATATTTCTAAAATAGAAGAATTGATTTGCGAATTCTTTCGCAAAAATCAAATTATATACTGTCATAGAAGGGAAAGAAAATGAAAATATGGACTGGCTTCGTAGAAAGTAAAAAGTAATGTTACCTTAGACGTGAAGATAAACCAGACAATGTAAAGTTTAAGTGAAGTTCACTCTTAGACTGAAGAAATCTTATGTAGAAATATTTTCCAGAAAAATCTGATGCTAATAGATGGAGTGATTGCCTACAAGTGAAAAATGGAACTCATAACAAACCAGAGTGGCTTCGTTTAGTATCACGAGAGAGAAGATTTATTCGCTACATTACAACTAATATTAACTGGTCATGGAACAAAATTGTTGACTCAATTCTCCTCAATGTGCATTTTTATCTCTTCTTGAGAAATACGGTTTACGAATGCAGTCTTCAGTAATCACATAGATTCCGGCGGCTCATACAGATTGTACTGTTGATTGTTTATTAATCATTATATAATAATTAAATGGTGACGGGGATTTTCATCAGCTTGGAAAAAAACGCAGAATATTGAATGTTTACTGCTATTCGCAAAGATATACCAATAATCTTCATATGAATGGATTGGTACTTCTTTGAAAGACCTTTGTCGATTAGTCCTCAAATTTCAGTAAATTTCATCCTCTGACCCAACCAACACCTGAAATATGTTTCCATTCCTTTTGAACTCCTAGTAAAAATAAGGCTTCAAGGATGATCTTTGAAGTTTCAATAGCGCTTGTATCATTTTTTACGGGACGGTGTTGCTAGCCTCATACTGAAACTTTCCTCTTAAATGAACTCACTAACAGATAGCCGAGGTTTAGGAGCGAGTCGACCGAGAATTGAACCCGGATCACATGCATGACTTGCTGGCATTCTACTCCTGAACCATCGACACACGAAACTAGGTGGTTTGAAAGTGAGTCAGTCAGGAACCAAACCGTAACCGTCTACATAGCATAAATTAATAAATAATAATCATGTGGTTTATTGTAATCTCTTTAGTTTCTCTGCAAGGTGGTGAGACTTCGTAATACATATGTAGATCTCGGGCACTGAGTAAGTAAGTAATTCCATATTAGTTTGTCTATCAAATATATCACACAGTGAAACAGTATGATTTACTGGATGACAAAGTTTCAAACACAATTTATTGCTATTCATAATTGTATTAGTAATGATCACACAACTTCGAACCTTGACTTTTATAGTTTTCTTTGTTCTCTCGTATTTGTCGTCGCTGGGGTAGTAGAGTTTTCCAGATGTCAGCGTGGACAGGTGTTGAATCATTCTTATTACACGTGTTTGCAATTGATTTAATAGACAAAGCATCCGTTATCAAGATCCCTCTCCACACTGTTACAGTAGATCTTGAAACTGTCATCTTATCCCATCCATCCAATTGCATGGTTGTGTGTAATTGCGTGATGTGCTGTAGGTGAACTATTCTCCAGATTTCTTATCTTATTCGGGTCAACTAATCTAGATTTTCCTGGCTTTTATGTTTCGCTTGTCTGACTGCCCCTGTTCTACTATTTTGACCTGTGTATTTCACCTGACAATCATCTCAGGCAGCGTATTAGATAAACTAAATTGATAATTCCACCAACATAGTACAACAACAGCCATATGCAGGAAATGAAAAATATGGGTGTTGCATGAGACCATATATTTAGGAATACACGGTAAATACATTAAAAAATTTCTAAAAATGTTAACAAAATTTTACAGATTTCTCCTGCGAATGAAAAACAGTTTGAATCAATTGTACATGTGAGCCTTTACGGATTCCCCTAGAATTAGTTACACATTTCCGTTTGATCCGTATTTGTTGAGTCGAATTAAACGCGTTGATATTTAATTGTTGCAGTCTGATTCTGATTTTTTATTGTCTGAATTAACAAAAGGAGATGATCACCGAAAAGTTTTATAAGGAAATAAGTGTACAGAAAGCAGAAAGCAACAAATTATTATCCTGTTACATACGCTTTAGAAAATGATAAATGCTTACTTAGGTTTGCTTTTGTAGGGAAGCCCTATAAATCAGTTAGAAAGTTAGAACAGACTACAGCGACTTGCAAAGTGTATTGCTCGTTTTATGTAAACAAACTTCTTAAAGATAGCTGATCTCAAATATGTTTGAAAATAATCTTAGATAATTTAGGAAATGTTTGATATCTCATTTTTCTTAAACGTGAAAAATGAAACAGGCAATTATTCAGGAGGAAACCATATCGCTTTTCAAAGTTTATTTCGACTAGGTTTATATTCTAAGCCAAGGTAATTTTAGCCTGGATGACCATGAGGTGGCCGTACAATCACCGAGGGTTTGATGATGGTATTCCTGGTAGTTGGAAACTCTACATTGTTTTCAAGATGTGACTTTACATTAATTCAAGTATTGAGCAAAGAAAAAAAATAGACAGTCGAAACTCATCGTTATCAATAAATCATCATAAACTTCCCGTGTGATGACAGTTTTTGAGAATCCATGCCGTTGTATGTGAACCAAATTCTTGTCTGATTCAACAGTCACAGATGCCTGTTCAAAAAAGAGAAGGTAGTCACCTTTTGATGACGGAAAAAGACAGAAAGCAGGATTTTTAGTGTTTGATTTCAAAATTAACTTCGTATCCTACATACGGTAATTTTCTCACCACAAAATTTGATGTCACCTAGTGACGAAATCCAAAATGAAATCATTTCCTTACTCAATAGACTTTTACCAATTATTTAGGGGTCTCTTTCGACATGGATTTCTTCAAATGCTAATGAGAGGTAAATATATGAGGGGCCAACAATTTGGGCTGTGACAACATTTACTGGCTCAACTATATGTCGGTGAGATCATATTGTGAATTAATAAAAGAATGGAACTTGATGATATTAGATGGTGGGAGGTAATCGACAGGAAGCCTTGGACCTACGTTTCGTGCTGGTTGGTACTCGTCAGACAAGGATTCCTACAGATTTCCTCAAACCATCTAATATCATGAAATAAGTGTGCACCGTGATGGCCAGCTACCTCGGAAGGTGGCCACATTACAACCTGACTGGTAGAATTTAGTCAGCACCAAAATAAGAACTAGACACATCACACTAGTTATTAGTGACAAATCAAAATAGAATGGAACTTAACCATTGTGGTTTGACATAGCTGCGTGATATGCTATTGAACTTCTTATGGCACAAACTTGAACACTAACATTCATCATTGGTGATTCGAGTCGAATTTCTCGCTCAGAGCCATATCAGCTGGATTATACGAATATCAGTCTCTACCAATAAATGATAGTTAGGAGGAGGATAAATTACTAAGTTCTGATATGATAGCTTAATGCTAAACTCTTTGCTACAAAACGTGGCAGTTATGTTATTGTTTCCAATGGAGAGCGTAACTATGTACTACTGATGAGCTCCAGACTGAGATAATATATGAAGCTGATTACAAGTTTGCCTAAAATTATTCCTTAAGTTAATTAAGTAGGCTGATGATGAGAAGCATTTTATAACTAGACCGCCTCCAACAAAGCAGCCAACTGAAGTATATACCGAATTAAAAAGCAGGTGGAAGATTACATGTGGTTACTACAGATCGGTGATTGTAATTATTCCTATTTTTAACACTGGGACTATTCACAATATTATTATAATAAGAATAATAAGTTTATTTTGGACAAAATCTCCACACAATATACAGAATTCTGGGTAATTTTTCTGCACAACATTCTCCTACTCATCCAGGATATCCAGGTGACCTAGCAGTCTACAGTATATCATGCGATACACCACTGTTATATTTTAAGCACAGACTAATCCCTCATGACATTCTTTCTTCATCTCCTAGAAAGCGCGCACTGGTATTTTCAAAGTTAATCAAAACTGTGTGGGAGTATATTTCACGACTCAAAAACATAAGTGAGTGGTTAAAACAATAAGAACTAGGGAAAATATGATACATTGTATTGGATGGCAACCCAGGTATCCCAATGATTCAAGCACGCCACCAACTAGTTATTGTCGTTGAGTGAAGACTGAGGTCGAATGGGTTAAAGCTGTCTCACGGCTAACTCCAAATATGCAAACATCATATGCAGAATTAAAATTCTTAAGAACCAGTCAAGCACTACTACCTTTCAGGATGATCAACGCATCATCATTATTCAATTATAGCATTTCTTATTGTTGCCAAGTTCTACTTATTTATGAAATGAGTCAAGTGATTAAGCGAACGAGTAGGTGAGATAATGGGACAAAGAGAGAGAGAGAGAGAAAGGTGAAAAGTGTTGATAACAGGAAATAAAGTCATCATAAGAATGAACAAACCTGTCAGTTTTAAATTCATGTTTATTTATTTTAGATGTCTACAGTTTTGTCAACTTCACTGTAGTCTGAATAAATGAGTCAATTAAATTCTTATATTTATTGTTAAATATTTGGCGTAATAAAACAATACTAGGTCGGGGCCCAGTCGCCTAGTGGTCTATGAGCTCGCCTTGTAACCAGGAGGTCCTGGGTTTGAACCCCTGTCGATGGGCACATACTGTGAAGAGTCACGAACTATGACGAAACAGCTGTCCGGCACTCCCAGGTTTTCCAATGGTTCTCTAACCGATGTCAACTCATGGCGTAATCCTGTAACCGGGAAAGTTCAACAAAACATCCCAAGGGATGCGAACGCACGAGTGACCTTGAGCCGAACAGTCATAAAATTGAGGCATTTTTACACAAAATGTGACGTACATTTACAAAAACATTCATGAAAACATATTAAACAGGTTACGTTTCTTTGACATGACTTAAATATACGTCCCAGTTATAATGAGGAGTATCAGTTGCTAAGTTAGACTAGTTTCACCGAGATGACTACAGATGAGTTGTTTTGTGAATCGTCTATCTCTCTTGTCTTGTTGTACAGTCTGCCCCAAAAGCCGTCGGTTGAATTACTATGGTTCGCAGTTAAAGGATAAACGTCTTCTTACTAGGAAAATGTGGATAAGAAAACATATTGAAATGAATGTCATTAACTCTAAATCTATCCATAATCGTAACCCTAGCCTTAATCCTGACCCTAATTACAACCCTTGTCCTAAACGTAAACCTAACCCTAATCCTAATTATGACCTTGATCCTAACCCTGACCTCAACATTACCTTAACCTTAACTCTAACGAGCTATTAACACATTTTCCAAACAGTACTTAAAAATGTGATCTCGGTGAAATTCGCTGCTAAGTTGGTGAACAGCGTTGATATTTCAGCTATGATAATGACAGGTGCCATTAACCAACGACTAGCATGCGTTCAAGGTCACTGCAGCGTTCGCACTCTTGAGACGCTATTGTTGAACTTCACCCTGTAACCAATTAATCAAATACCTACAAACCAAAACTTGAATGACAATATTGTTGACTCCGTTGTATTCCAGATGAAATTTAATGTTTATAACTTTGAGAAATTGTTTTCAAAGTGCCTGTCCTGCTTTCCAGTCATGACTTCTAGTAGGGTTTTCAGAGTTGTGTGTGTCTATAATTCTTGGAGTGTGATTGCTAGACACCTAGTCATAAGATCTGATATAGCTTGACCGACTAATTAATATACCTCATCCTTTATGACATCATCAATTGTTACTCTCAAAAGTTGCAGTTGAGTTACTGTTAGACGACCACATACGTGATCCTACCATATTCAATGCCTACCGGTTTCTCAAAGTTTAGTGAAACACTTCAGAGACAGCTGGTTCAATTTACACAGTGACAGGCAGTGATACAGTCAGATCATCTGCATATTTGACAAAGTTAGTTTCGTTTGAATGAGGCAGGTCATGTAGGAAGAAAGAAAAAAGAAAAAGAGAGAGGACAGCACCTTGTGGAACACCGGATTTTGTAAGCGAGGTAGAAGAAGAACCATTAAGGCAATGCAAAGGGGAACTATATTCTACTTCCCCGATCTTAGGGTGATTTCCAATTAATGAACTACTAATGAACTATTACACAATGCAACAATATCTCATTACTTCGCTTAATGAACACATAAAAAGCTGTATTTTATCGAGACATTTTAATTAGAGTAACCCAAGCTTTTAAATACCTCTTCAAAAAGTATTCGTAATCCAAAATCCATGAAAGTAGAAAAGGAACCTAATGCATTCTTTTCTAACAAGATGTTGGAAGTTATCTGTTATCACTGTTAGAAGAATACAAGAAAAACCTCTTCGCTTAATAATGTAACACAGACCCTAAAATTGATATAAATAGTCAAGAATTTCTGCAGCACAATGGAAATAATGTAAGGCATTTAAAGGCGTGAAAGATCATTTTGGCCTTTGTGTGAAAATGAAAGAATGCAGGCAGCGTGTACAAGCACAAAGATATACACAAGGCCAGTGACACGGATTTCGCCTGATGGACACACCACAAACCAGATAGACTTCATCTTAATACTGCTCAAGGAAATGGAGAGGCAGCCAGTCTGTTGGACACAAAGTCGAGGAGGGAAGCAGATGTGGGCGATTTCAGATCATCGTCTAGTTCAAGGAACCTTCAAGGTGAAACTGAAACCCTTCAGAACAACTGGAGACAGGCCACTGTAATTCAAGTTCGACGTTCAGAAACCGAAGGATAGCTATATGAAAATGCCAGGTGTCAGGCGATCCACAACGGAAAACTCAGCAAAGCGTGAGAAGGGAAATGCAGGAGTAAAACAATCTGGCTCCCTATTATCGCTGATGATATTTCTAATCGTGGTGAACTGGATTAGGCGTCGAATTGTGAGGAGTGAGAAAACAGAAATACGTTGGAACGGCGAGAGGGCTCGAGAAGATCTGGATTTTGCTGACGATTTGTGTTTTATGTCACACAGACTCGAAGACTTGCAGGTGGAAACCAACAGACTGGTTGAAGAAGTAGGCGGTGAAGACGAGACTAAAACTTGGAATGGACTCGTTAAAATTCACAGCCATTATTGAATTTCTTGAATATCTGTGACTTAGAGAGAGGAGTGAATAAAGTGAGATTAAAAATAAACTGAAGTTTGTGCATTCATGGATGCTTTGGCTAGAATAGAAACTAGATAAATTCATCACTAAAATGGTTTCTACTTGTTTTCACTGATTCACAGAGGATGCATTACACCCGACACTTGTTTGTTCAAAGAGTACGACCTAAGTTTAAATTCCTGTAAGAAGACAAAGTTGAAGACCACTGAATGGAAGGTTTTTCAATAAGTATTTCTTGTACTCATAAAACAGAATGTATACAGACTAATCAAATCACAATCGTAATCTGTGGAGAATGGTATAAACTGTGTAGTTGGTAAATAGGCCAAAATTTAATTTCTAGTGAAATGCACTTGGTTTTGTTTTAGTAGTGACGTGTTTGATAATACTCAAAAGAAAGATGACGTGTAGGCAAGGTCATTTCGTCTCTGGGATTTTCTCAACATCAATAACTAAACGTATAAACAAGCACAAGATTCGTTAAATTGTGTAGCTTCTTCCATCCATCATGTGATTCTACAAGTGTATAATATTTGTATCTCATAC